CACTCGGGTTCGACCCGGTGGGATTCCAGCTACCCAGCCATTACGCTAACTGCTGGTTCCCACACCTCCTGTAATTTATTAAAAAAATTATTTTAGTTAATTTTATTTATTATTATTATTTTTTAATTTGACTAGAGAGAGACAGAAAGAGATAAGAGAGGGAAAGCAAGAAAGCAAGCCTCCAGATCTAGGACTCAAACCATGGTTAGCTACGTGGGAGTCTAGCATCCTAACCCCGAAACCACCTGCCAGCCCACCTCCCAGCAATTTGAAAATATAAAGACTTCTTTGGGACCAGTAGATGGCATATCAGTTATGTTGTTGGATTCCCATGTAGTGGACCACGGTTTTGAGTCCTGGACCTGGTGGTTTAAAACTCACATTGTGCACGTGTGCATGTGTGCCCAAAATCCTGACAGGAGATTGGAGGAGAAAGGGGTTTGGCATGGCCATCCCCCTGGGGGGGTGATTTCTAAAAAAAAAAAAAAAAGAAAAGAAAGAAATCTGTCCTAAGTATCTCCAAATCAGTTTGGTCTCTCTTCTAAACTCTCACAGTGTCATGTACATATCTCTATCATTGCATGTCCATACATATTACATTATAATTATCTAGTATCTCCCCTACTATATTAGGAGCTCCTTGAGGGTAGTGAGTCTCTTTCTTACCCTTGTATTCCCAGCACATAGAAGTTATTACAAAAATTTTAAAGTTGAATGTTGCTGTAGAACAAACTGTGTTTCACTGTAGACCATTTAGCCCTTCAGTAAACATGTAAGGAGAGCCTGCCATGTGCCTGCCAGGCGTTATGCTGATGCTGAGGACGCAAAGGTTCATGAGACAAACCTAGCCCCTGCCCTCTAATGTCTAAAGAAAATGCATAAACTGTATAGTAAAGGAAGTACAGGGTATAACAGGATTATATAAAAAGATCAATTTATATTTATTTGGAAGGACAGAGAAGGTCTTCCAGAGGGAGTAATACAAGACCTACAGGATGAGTGAGGGTGGCCTGGAGAAAAGCTGTCAGAGGACATCTACAGAAGTCTTGATAGGAAAGATTTTATGTCTACAGAACATTTGACTGAAAGTATGCATTTAGTAGGCAGAAGGGACATGACCAGAAACTGGAGCAATCTATGCTAAACTGTCCTCAAGTGTTTCCTTTGCTCCTAAATTTAATAGGAAGGCCTAAAATAATTTCATTCACAGTGAAAGTTCCTAACCAGAGTAAGAAAAAAAAGTTGTATTGAAAAGAGAGAGAGAATGTGTGTACGTGTAGAAGGTTCTATTTACTAGTGAAAAACAAACCAGCTTTGTCAGCTGTCATGTGGCTCCTGTCTCTGATGCCAATTTGAAACAAAACTGACAAAAGTGGGATCCTGCAGTCTCCTAGCTTTACACTGAAATGGAAAACCACTTTATATTAGATTAGGCAGGATGGTGATATTAAGAAAGCTCTCTGAAGGAAGCATATAAAAAACTGAGTCTTTTTACTGCCCCCTATCTTTTTGTCTCAACTCCTTCCCTAAAATTTTGTTATTCTTACTGTTTAATGCTTGGAAATAGAGAACATCTACAAGAAGCAAGTATTTCTGACTCACTTTCTAACTTCTTTGATTCATAAATTGATTATCATAAGAGTACAAGAAAATACGTGCTTCCATTTTTGTCTAACTTAAAACACATTCTATAGCATGGACAATTTCAAAATTCTAAGACCATTTAAACATCTTCTAGTGTTATGAGCTTTAATAAGTAGATCTTATAAGAGTCCATCTCTTTTTAAAAATAATTCATTTAATTTAATTTATTATTATTATTATTCTTTAATTTGACCAGAGAGAAACAGAGAAGGAAAGTGAGAAAGCAAGCCACCAGGTCCAGGACTCAAACTATGGTCAGCCATGTGGGAGTCTAGCACCTCAACCACCATGCCACCTGCTGGCCCCAAGACTATCTCATTTTTAGTCTCTGAGATTAGCTGTCTAGTTAACAGAACTTTTATCATAAAATAATCTCTAAGGCATTTCTCAAAAAGAAGGTGCGTATTGACATTCTATTTTCTTTCTCTTCCAGATACTTTTTTTTGGATTTGGGTGGCTTTTCTTCATGCGTCAATTATTTAAGGACTATGAGGTAAGAAGAAATCATTGTATTAAATTGATACTCTATGAATGTAAATTGCTTTAAAGGTGACAATAAAAATGCCTCCATTAAAAAAGAATACATTCACTTCCAAGACAGGAAGTAAAATGAGTACTGTGTAACAATTCATTGGCGAATAGGACTAGATTCAGTTGATTTAAAAGAGAAAAAGGCCAGCCTGTGGCATGATGGTTAAGGCAACTGGATCCCACATGGCCAACTGCACTGCTCATGTCCCGGACATGGTGGCTTGAAAAACGTGCATGGAACATGTGTGTGTGTGTGTGTGTGTGTGTGTGTGTGTGTGCCCCAAGTCCCTAGGGGAGAATGGAGGAGAAGGAATTGTGGTGTGGCCATCTCCCTTGAGGGGTGATCACTCATTTTCCCTCTCTTTGTCTCTTTCCAATGAGCACAAGCATCCTATGGCCATTATGAAGAAAAAAAGAGAGATAAATGGCAAGTCACACATAGCTCAGAAACTAGCAGCAAGGAAGGTCATGCTTTAGTCATATCAAGATACATCGTATAGCAGATAGTTCATTTTTGGAACAGAATTTCATTTATAATGTCCTAAATATTCCCTTTCATTTGTCTGTCTGGCCTTGAATTATCAATCTTATATTCTGAGTTAATACCAAAATCTCAAGGCTGGACTGGTCCTAGCTTAAGCCTTAGATTCTGAAAATCACCGCCCTGAATTGGATATTTCCTAATTAATCCTCCTCTTTTAGTAATAAGATCAGGGGTTATGGACTACCTTTGAGTCATTTCTAGGATGTTCTCCATTAACCCTCCCTGGGGAGTTTGGGCTGTTAACCTGAAAAAGCAAAGGATTTGGGGAATTCTATTCAATATTTAAGGACTTCCAGGGGACATATCTGAATAGATCTAAGTTACGCAGAGTGTTAAAGAACCCCTTTCAGCATTAGCCATTATGTGCCTATCTTTCATTTTTTGTCAGTATACATCAGGAATTATTTTTTTGGAGAGGTTTTTTCCTATAGGACACGTGTGCTCTCCAAAAAGACAGAGAGAGACAGAGAGACAGAAAGCAAGAAATCACCCCTCAGTGGGAGTGGCCACCCCGCAATCCCTTCTCCATTCTCCTTTCGGGTTCTTAGGCACGCACGCACATGCTCCTGGCATGAGTTTAAGCCTCCGGGTCTGGGACTTGAACCATAGTTGACTACGTGGAAGTCCAGCAACATAGCCATTATGCTAACTGCTGGTCTCCATCAGAAATTCTAACTGCTGACTCTAACCGTTCACTTCATCTTGTGCCTTAAATTCTCCGTCCACACTAATAACCGGGAGATTATGAATTAAATTTTTTAAATTTTATTCATTATTATTATTATAATTCGCCAAAGAGAATGTGAGAAAGCAAGGTACCAGATCTTGGACACTTACCGTAGTCAGCCATATGGGAGCTCAGCCCCTTAACTACCATGCCACCTGCTGACCCCTCAATTTAGTATTTTGAAAAATAAAATGACAAGGGGCCAGCAGTTGGTGTAATGGCTATGTCACTGGAATCCCATGTAGTCAACCGTGGTTCAAGTCCCGGACCCTGCAGTTTAAACTCACACTGGGCACGTGTGCATGTGCACCCAAGATCCTGAGAGGAGAATGAAGGAGAAGGGATTGTGGTTGGCCATCCCCCCTGGGGGGCAATTTCTCGCTTTCTGTCTCTCTGTCTCTCTCTCTCTCTTTCTGGTGAGCGCATGTGCCCTACAGCAAAAACCTCTCAAAAATAAATAAGTAAATCAATAAAATGACAGAACCAGCAGTTGACATAATGGTTACGTTCTGGACTCCCACATGGCTGACCACAGTTCCTAAGCCCTGGACCCTGCAGGTTAAGACTCATGCCAGGTGCGTGTGTATGTATGCCCAAAATCCCAAGAGAAGAATGGAGGAGAAGGGATTACGGCATGGCCACCTCCCCTCCCCAGGAGAGTAATTTCTCACTTTCTATGTCTCTGTCTCTCTGGTGAGTACACATGCCCTGTAGCAAAAATCTCTCTAAAAAAATAAAAAATAAAAATAAAAAAAAACAGAAAAATGAGGGACCAGCAATTGGCATAATGGCTATGTCACTGGACTCCCCTATAGTCGGCTGTGGTTAAAGGCCTGGATCCAGTGGCTTAAACTCACGCTGGGCGCGTGTGCGTGCATGCCCAAGATCCCAATAGGAGAATGGCAGAGAAGGAATTGCAGTGGGGCCATTACCCTTTGGAGTGATTTCTCACTTTCTGTCTCTCTGTCTCTCTCTGTCTTTCTGGCAAGTGCATGCACCCTATAGCAAAAAACTCTCAAAAACAAAACAAAAACACAAAATGAAATGACCTCTTGTCTCTATTTGGTTTCTAACAGGTGCGTCAGTATGTTGTACAGGTGATCTTCTCTGTGACTTTTGCATTTTCTTGCACCATGTTTGAGCTCATCATCTTTGAAATCTTAGGAGTACTGAATAGCAGGTGAGTAAGAATGCTACATAGCTCTCTTCTTGAAAAGTGCTAACTACTTTCTTTATGGTAGAAGAGTTACCTAGATATTAAAACTGAAACAATTCACCATGTAGTCTCGGTAACTGCAATAATCATGACAAATGTGGCTCCTGGCCACCTACTCACCAGTTTGGCAAAGATTATGAGATACCAAAAAAAAAGTCTGACCATTAACTCTGAAGGACTCATCGAGAGTGAGGCTGTGAGAGCCTGTGTCCAGGCTTCACTCTAGAAGCCTTTCTTCTCAGACTGTTCTCTGACTGAATCCCAGTCATGGCCCTCAATGCGATTCTGCTGATTGAAAATCTTTACCCAAAAAGATCATAATTACTTAGAGCTATTTAAGGACCCCTCTGAAGACTGAAGTCTATCTAGTTCTTAGTTACCTTTCTTGATTTTACAGGCATGATCAAATTTGAACGTGGAGTGTTTTCAAAAATATTTTTTAAAAGTAGCTCTTGGGACTAGCAGATAGCATAATGGCTACATCGCTGGACTCCTGTGGAGTCGACCACGGTTCAAGTCTCAGACCCGGTGGCTTAAACTCACGTCGGGCGCGTGTGCATGCGTGCCCAAGATCCTGAGAGGAGAATGGAGGAGAAGGGACTGTGGCACACAACCATCCCCCCTGGGGGGGGTGATTTCTCACTTTCTTTCTGTTTCTCTCTGTCTCTCTGACCCTACAGTGAAAACCTCTCCAAAAAAAAAAAAAAAATCAAAAGTCCTAAGAATTTTTAATAAGATACTTTTCTTTTAAAATTTATAGGATGCAGGACCAGCAGTTAGTGTAATGGCTGTGTCGCTGGACTCCCAGCAGTTAGTGTAATGGCTATGTCGCTGGACTCCCATGTAGTTGACGGCAATTCATGTCCTGGACCCGGTGGCTTAAAACTCACGCCAGGCACATGTACATGCGTGCTCAAGATCCCGAGAGGAGAACGGAGGAGAAGGGATGGCGGTGTGACCATTCCCCCTGGGGGTGATTTCTCACTTTCTGTCTCTCTGTCTCTGTCTGTCTGGCGAGCACACGCGCCCTATAGCAAAAACCTCTCCCCCCCCAAAAAAAAAATTTACAGGATGGGACCAGCAGATAGTGTACTGGTTTCATCACTGGAATCCCATATAGCCAACCACAGTTCAAGTCTCGGACCTGGCAGCTTAAAGCTCATGCCAGGTGTGCGTGCACGTGTGTGTACACGTGTGTCCAAAATCCTAAGAGGAGAATGGAGGAGAAAGGATTGTGGTATGGCCATCTCCCCAGGGGATGATTTCTCACTTTCTGTCTGTCTCTCTAGTGAGTGCACATGCCCTATAGCAAAAATCTCTCTTAAAAAAATTTTTACTATAGGGCATCCACACTCACTAGAGGCAGAGAAAAGGAAAGCACCCCATGGGAAATGGCCACACTGCAATCCATTCTGTTATGGGAATTTGGGCTATGCACACATGCACACATACACACACACACACACACACACACACACACTTCTGGTGTGTTTTCCAAGATGCTGAGTCCTGAACTCAAACCATGCAGTCAGCCATATGGGAACCAGCTGCCTTAACCACCACACCACCAGCTGGCCCAATAAAATACATCTTATAAGCAGTAATAAAAGTAGTCATGCAAATCAGATATTTAAGTATATCAAAGGTACAAAAGAGTATTTCTAAGTCTTATAGCATATATTACTATTAACATTTATTTTCCTTTAATTCTTATTTTGGAATAAGATTCCTAGTTATGAGTTAAACAATAGTTATTCTGGCAATAATGCTATATATTGATATGTGATATGTGCATTACCTATAAATATAGCTAAAGCATTAACTTTTTTTCAAGAATTATTTTATTTAACTTTATTTATTTATTTGCTTATTTGTTTGAATTTGTCCAGAGAGGGACAGAGAGGGAGACAGGGAAGTGAGAAAGCAACCCACCAAGTCTAGGACTCAAATCACGGTTGGCCATGTGGGAATCCAGTGCCCTTAACCATCACGCCACCAGCTGGCCCCAACATTCTTATTTTTATAAATGAAATTGTTAGGAAGAATGGCTATATGTACCTTTCAGAAGTTTACATTTTTAAATCCTTACAGGTGAGTAGATAGTAACTGCCCAATGGACTAATTAGATGGACTATAATCAGTGTTGAGTTCAAAGAGGAAGAAATTCTTTGGAAGACCAAATAGAGTGAAAGTTGCTGCCTTTCCCTCTCCACAGTGATATTCTTTAACATTTATTTTAGCTCCCGCTATTTTCACTGGAAAATGAACCTGTGCGTAATTCTGCTGATCCTGGTTTTCATGGTGCCTTTCTACATTGGCTATTTTATCGTGAGCAACATTCGGCTATGTGAGTATTTTTACCCTCTGGTCTCAGCCTATTGATTGAGATGGGTATTCTTGGGGACTGAGTGGTAGACAGCTGCATTTCTCCTTTAACGTTTAGAAGCTGCTGCTGGGCCAGCAAGTGGCTTGGTGGTTGAGGCACTGGACTCTCACATGGCTGACTGTGGCTTGGACACAGCAAGTCCTGGACCTGGTGGCTTGCTTTCTCACTCTCCCTCCCTCTCTCTCTCTGGT